ATAAAAAGTTACTAGTTACCGATAAAATATAACTAAATAAAGTTAAAAGATAAGAGTCTAAAATTGTAACTAGATAAAGTTAAAATTATTTAACTTTTTAACTTTTTAACTTAACTTTTATCTTTTTAACTAGACACTACCCAACCTTGGTTTTTTTGAATCTTGACTTTGAAAATGATCTTGTCGGTACTTTTCACTATCATATTCGTAATCAGCGCACCAAAATACAGTAGTATATCAATCGACACCAAAATCAGAGGGTTCAGCTTTTCGGAACTTTATCCCAGAATTGTAATGTGCTGAGAGAAAGAGAGAGGGAGAGAGAGATTAGATTAGATTAGTAGCTTTATTTAGAAAGGCGCTCTGGGGAGAACCTCTCAAGCAAGAGAGAGAGAGAGCGAGAGAGAGAGAGACAGAGACAGAGACAGAGACAGAGAAAGATTAATTATATCCCCACTATGTACTTTTGGAATTTCCTTCGCGCCGCGGGCTCACAGTTGCGTAGCAGAGGTCGAGCGGTTTCACGAGCGTCAAAACAACAAAAAATTTCGCCGGTCGGAAAAACAACCTCAGCCGTTGAAAATAACACGCATATGTTTCTCATTTGTATTAAAATTTATTAAATTTTTAACATTTATTAAATTTTTGTTTTTTTTCCACATAGTCGAGAATATTGTTAGGTGTTGGAATTAATTCGTAGCGTTTTACAAGACATGGCGTAGGTAGTACAGTATTTCCTTGTTACCTACAGTAATGTATTCATCGTGAAACAGCTGTCATTGGACGTCATTTGCTTTACATAACCTTTTTTTGAATCGTAAATAACATACTTTATAATTTATTGAATATGTCAAAATTTGTGCCAAATAAAATGTTTTTGCGGAAAGGCGTTTTTTGACGTGTGAACTGCTGCTTCAACGGGAGAAAAAAAAAGGTTTTTTGCATTGAATTGTCATCGGTGATGAAAAATGGATCTATTACGACAATCCGAAGCGCAGAAAGTCATGGGTTAAGCCCGGCCAACCATCAGTAGCAAAGCCGAATATTCATGGGTCTAAGCTCCAGCTCTGTATTTGGTGGGATCAGAGGGGTGTGATTTATTATGAACTGCTGAAACCAAATGAAACCATAACTGGGGATCGCTACCGACTACAATTGATGCGCTTGAGCCGTGCATTGAAAGAAAAATGGCCGGAATACTCCAAAAGATACAGCAAAGTCATTTTGCCGCACGACAATGCTCGTCCACACGTCGCAAAACCGGTACAAACATACTTGGAAACATTTAAATGGGAAGTTCTACCCGCCGTATTCTCCAGATGTTGCTCCTTCTGATTACCATTTGTTTTGTTCGATGACTCATAGCCTCTCTGAGCAGAAGTTTACTTCTTACGAAGATTGTCAAAAATGGGTCGATTCGTGGATTGCATCTAAAGACGAAGCCTTCTTCCGACACGGTATTCGTTCCTTGCCCGAAAGATGGTCAAAAGTAGTAGAAAGCGATGGGCAATACTTTAATTAATGTATTTTTTTGATTTTTATTTAAAATAAATAATTTTTCTTCATTAAAAAAACGCTACGAATTAATTCCAATTCTTACTATTTTTTTGCGAACGTAGTATCTACTTCTTTTTTGGTCGGTCAGGACAATATATATTCTACACGCAAAAAAGGCACCAATAAAAGAGCATTATTTATGGTTAATTAAAGCAATGTTTTTCTAGCAGAGTTGCAAACTTTGGCCGGCTAGCAACAAGAACATCGAGGTAGTGAGGACACGCACACCATAAGTTCTCGCTTGAGTGCGTGCCCGTACCATCTCGGTATTTTTGTTGCTAGCCGGCCAGAGTTTGCAACTCTGTGTTCTAGTATATATTTCATCACAAAAATATCAAGAGGCATGGTAATTCCTCGCGCTACGTTCACGCGCAATGAAGTCGCGCGCGAACGGTGCGAGCACTCCGTGCCTCTATTATGCAAAAATGAGTAACTTTGACATTTATGAAAAATTATACTATTCACGTTTCAGTAAGAAATGAACCGATAAACTTCTATTTAGTGTTAATCGTTTCGGGTTTGAAAAATAAAAACAAAAGTATACGTGTTTTTATATGTGTCTTCTATTCAAAGATATTTGAAGATAATGTCTCAGATTGGTGAAATTCGCACATAGAAAAATTTTTCGTCAAACTAAATATATATCACATATGTGCAATTTCATAGTTTCCGTCAACAGATGGCGAAGCGAGTGCGGTGCATTAATTTCCTCTTTTTCTTTTACTCTTTCAAATTTCTTTTATTCTCTCTCTCTTTTTCTCCCTCTCCCTCTCTCTCTTTCCTTCTCCCTCTCTCTCTCCTTCTCCCTCCCTCTCCCTCTCCCTCTCTCTCTCCCTCTCTCTCTTTCTCTCTTCTTCTTCCTCTCTCTTTCCTTCTCCCTCTCTCTCTCCTTCTCCCTCCCTCTCCCTCCCTCTCCCTCTCTCTCTCTTTCCTTCTCCCTCTTTTTCTCTCTCTCTCTCTCTCTCTCTCTCTCTCTCTCTCTCGCGAGTAGAGAAGACATGTCACACATCGCTCCGTAAAAAGTATAAGTTTTTAGTGAGTAAACAATAAGAGAGTGTGATAAAAAGTGGTTTAACTTATAGAGCCATAAAAAGTGAGTAATTATGTGTATTATCTAGCCAGGATATGCTCAGTTCTGACT